AAAATGACTGACATGTTTCCCAGACTAGCATTTTCTCTATGGCTTTTAAGCCATTTATCACTATCACTAAATATTATTTTAAATCTTTCAAAAAGGATTTGAAAGAGTTAAGAAAAGAGATTATAATCCTCAAGTATGGGCCAAGTATATCTCCTTTCTAACATTGTGTTGCTGTAATTAAAGTTACTAGAGAGTAATGGCCCCAAGTATTCTTCCTGTTAGCCAGTGATTCTGTAAAAATAAACCTCAGTGCTTTTTGACATGTGACAAATGAGCATCTTGTGCCCTGGATATCTACCAGGGATACACTTTAAATTATTCTGAAGGCCTGTAAAGTGCTTTTAAGTCTTCTGTGGGGCTTTCACATGAATGGTGCTTTACCACTTTGAGCATAGAAATGTGGCTGAGTTCAGACAGAAACCTCTCCAGAAGGGTTGCATCCTTTGAAAAGAAGACAGGAGATCATAGCCAAAATCACTGTAAGTCTAAGATGAGCTCTTGCCATGTTTGGGGGATCCTATGGTGCCCATCCCACAGTGATGAAGGGCCATCAAGCTACAAAGGTGTGTTTTCAGAAAACAAACAACTCTCATTTCTTTTAAATCAGCCCTCTAAGATCTACTTCCTTTTTTGCATTTCCTCTTGTATTTCAAAGCGCATGTTGGAGCAAGACTAGGGACTTCAGGTTCCACACAAAACTCATAGAGAACCAAAATGAGCCCTTCACAGGCAAGAAGATAGGTGTCAGGGAACGAAGTTTATGGAGGCTATAGCAACATTTTTTAAAGACCACTGATATAAAAATTTTCTCTGAAGCAAGTAAAATGTCTTATTCATTTGTGTATCCCTCACATAGCTAGCAGTGGTTTGTATATGATAAATATTAAAAGATATTTGTTGACATCATTGATCATTCATAGAGCAAAAGTATTATTCCTCATGTACCCTGAGAGTCTCCATGGATTACAGAAAAAATAATAAAATGAGATTTCAATTCCAGAGTTTATCACAGGGGCACCATTTGGTCTAGGCTTCAAATTCACAAAAGGCCTGAAAAATCTGTCATTTCTCCAAGTGAGGTTATATATGCCTTCATAGAGGTGATACTGAAAAGATTGAGAGCTTAAGTTGTTCAAAATACATTCTTAACTTAAGTCAAAGTTTTGGGAGCTCTTTTGAATTTTTTTTTTTATTTTTAAAGAATGAACCAGTGTATTATTCCATTTATATCTACCTATCTATCTATCTATCTATCTATCTATCTATCTATCTATCTTAAAGGTTCACAAAAGAATAACCCTTAAAGTGTTAATAATGAATTGTAATAAGGTGGGAGTTCATGTGATTTTTGCCCTCTGTATGTTTTACCCTCTGTATGTATTTTATCCTTTTGTATGTTTGAAATTACATTGATCACATATGACTTTATGTAATCAGAGAAAGCAACAAAACTGTATTCATTATATGAAACAGAGTATAGGATGCAGCAAATGACTTTGAGAATCAGTCAAAGATAACTCCTTAGTCTGAGCCCAAATGACTGAATAGCTAATGGTTCCATTAAGAGAAATTGAGAGATTAGGAAGAGAAACAGATGTGGGGGAGGAGATGTTTTGAATCCAATTGTGAGCACGTTAAGTTGGAAGTGCCAGAAGTGCTTCTGCATGGAAATGTTGAAGAGAAGCTTAGAACAAGGTTGGAAATGCAGATTTAATAGGGCATTTATAAGAGTGGAGTCACGGAGAGACAGATGAGCCCAAATGAACAAGATAGGGCTTGTAAATTTAGAAAGTAAAGGAATAAATAGACCCATGCAGATAGAAGGAGCCAATAATGAGGAACCAGGAGATGATGGCTCTCATATAACCATAGGAGTGGAGGTGACCACTATGTGTGTCAGCCCCTAGGAGGACTTTGCATTCCATCTGGAATCAAAATGAGAAGGAGCTTCTCTAGGGTGGGATTGGGGTGGGATAGGGGCATCTCAGGAAGAAGCACCCACAAATATGAAGTCCCAGAGACAGAAAGAAGGCTGGTGAATTCTAGGAATAGACAAAATTTCAATGCATCTGGAGTTCTGTGGTTATTACAGCAGAGTATAAAACATTACCTGCACCCTCAGATAGCTCACAGTCTGATGGGAGAGACGGACATAGCGGCAAATAATTCCAATACATTATGATAAGCACAGGGATAGAGACAAGACAAGTATGAGTGCTATAAATGCACAGTAATAGAGGGGAGACATTCAGTTCTGGAAGTAGGAGGGTGTAATATTTTTCATAAACTTTTGGAACCTTTTATGAGGGATTTTGCCAAAGAGATGGCAAATAGTGAGTTGGAGATATTGCTAGAAAGGAGAATCTCTGGAAGGGGAAGGGATAAGACAATATATTTATAATATATTTATAAACTATTGGATTAGTAAACACAGATTAAATTGCATAGTTCAGCCAGATTCAAGATAGGATAAAACTTCTGGAGACAGTTGGCCTGTTGCTTCTCTTGCAGACTCTAGTCAAGGTTCATGGTAAGTGATCAATGCTATAGCTCGATATCCACATTGCCTTACCTGGCATCCTTAGGATTGCTGCTTCAAAGGAAACCTACAAATTGGAGACCCAGGACTGAAGGACGTCTCTGCTGTCAGGACAGGGGATGTCTACACTCACTCACCTGGAGTTCCCAGAGGGCGCAGAACAATTTTTGCTTCTGGGATTGTTCTTTCTTCCCTAGCTATCAACTCTGGATGGAGAAATTAGGCCATCAGTAATGGAGTGGCGGCATCACTGAAAAAAGAATTATGCTTGTAAACACAGCAATGTAAAGGATAATGGCATGTTTAGGGAATACAAGTAGTTTATTATGGTCTTACGGTGGCAGTTATATGTGTTGCGGGGCAGACTGCAGTAATGGGAGACAAAGTTGAAGAATTAGGTTAGGGGCAAATTGTGAAAGTTCTTGAATTATTTTAGAGGGACTTTAGGTTTGATCTTATGGGCAGTGAGGCATCATGAAAGTGTTTTGAAGAGAAGAGATGTGATCAAATGTGCATTTTAGAACAGCCAGCACTGAATGCAGTTTGGAAGATTACTATGGAGGATTAAACCAGGAGGTTGGAAGACCAGTTGGGAAATAATTGCAATCACTGAGGGAAGAAATGAGGTGATACCAAATTAAGATAGTAGTACTTGGAATAGAGAATGTAGGATAAAGATTGAGAGGAAGTATAAGCCGCATAACTGACAGAATTTAGGGATTACTTAGGAAGAAGGTATAAGAAAAAAGAAGCAAGGACCTAGGAAACATCTGGTTTTGGCGTGGGTGCCTTAGTGGCTGGAGATGCTACTAGTCATTGTTTGGAACACAGGAAAGGAGTAGATCAGGGGTTGAGTGTGGTAAGACATATATAATTTTATATATATATGTATAATTATATATATGTATACATATATATATAAAACATATAATGAAATATATATAATTGAGTCTGTAATACTTGCAGAATATCCAGAGGAAATGGAAATCCAGGCATAGAGTCCAGGAAAGAAAAGAGTTTGGGGTTAGAGATACCAATAAAAATCACTAGTTACAGGAATTAGTTGAAACCAAAAGATCCAATGAAATAATTATAGCATTTGACCCAGCTGTTCGCTGCCACTTAGGTCATATGGGGACTCTTGCATAATAGAGAGAAATATTCTTTGCCAGAAGGTAGAAACAACCCCCAAGATCCCAGAGCCACAACCATCTGAATTCTTCAGCTATGCATTTGGCAGAAGCTGAACACCAGCATCCATAGAGAAAACATATTTTGTCTTGTAGATCCAATTTTCCTTGCCCAAAATTCTTAGTTTGGATACAAAGACTATACGATATTTGACATATGGCTGGTTTAGAAATGTTTGTTTTCCTCAATAAGTCGATCAGATTTGCATATGATCCATTTGATCACTTACCACAATCAGTGATAAATTTAGTAAATACTTGGCAAAAATCATAAAAGCTTACACACACAAATTAGATGGGCTGTGAATACAGACATGGAAACAGATGCAGATTCTTTCTGAAGTTTTCTCTGTCAGGGTTCCTTCACTTCTCAATCTCTTCTGGGGAAACAAGCATGACTGTGTCAATCAAAGTGAAATTTCTTGATGGTTTGTGTTGGTGACTCCATAAATGTCAGGAGTGTGGAAGTGTTAGACTAGCAGCTTTAAAGTAGTCTCCATAGTACTCATCAAGAAAGACCCAGTGCATCTTTTTGGTCAGTTTGATTTTTCTGTGCTCTTCTGTATCTATTCATTATTTCATTTCCCTAGTTTTAGACACTTCATAAGGCAAGCAGAATTTGATATGGTTTAAGGCCTTGATTTATCTAAAACTTCTCAAGATCATCCTTAGTTATAATAAGAAGGTCTTTATTTTCTTGGGTGGAAGTAAATGATGTGCTTTTACTTTATTTGCAAAATGATATCAAAGCATCTGTACATGGCAGTAGGCTGAAGTCAAGCTCACAAGTAGGTGAGGTTTCCTTTGTTATAATTACTTTTCACATTACAAAATAATGCATAATTTTAAAAATTCAAGCTATCAAATATATAAGAATAGTTTTAAAAAGGAGGGAATATCCACGATCATTAGAAACTTGAACATCATTTCGTGTTTATTAGCCACTTGTGAAGGTGTGGATAACATTTACAAAAAGAGTAACATACTAACTTGTTTCGTATCCTTATTTTTACTTAACAGAATATTTAAGCTATTGTTTCCTATCAACATCAATGCTATGGCTCTACTTCATTCTTTTAAAAAATAACATGGTATTATGTAGTATAGAGGTTACATTATTTAACCATGACTCTATTGATGGACATTATGCTGCAACTATAGAAAATACTGAACAGTCTTATACCCACATTTTTGCACACACATAGCTACAGGATACGTTCTTAGAAGTGGAGTTGCTAGGTCAGATGATAAATGTGTTTTTTTCTGACTGCTGTTGCCAAATTGTCTTACAAAGGAGTTGTACCAATTTACACCCTCACTAACTATGAATAAGAATGCCTACTTTCCTTGTTCCCCTCTAATACAGCATTCTAAAGAACTTTTGGGTCTTTGCCAACCAACTAAGTGAAAAATGGTTACCCTGCAGTTGAGTCTGCATTTGAAAAATGGTATTTCATTGTGGTTTGATTTGCATTTCTTCAACTATTCCTTTTGCAGTTAATCATACACTTATGTCTTTTGCTCATTTTTTCAGTGACTTTTTTTTCTTATTTGTAAGAACGGTTTGTTCATTAAGAAAACTAATGCCTTGTTATATTTCTTGCAAACAAATTAACTCAGTTCGTTGTTCAACATTTGAATTTGCTTATGGTATTTTTACAGTGCTAAAATTTTTAATTTTATGAGCTGAAATTTATGACTCTTCTATGGTGTCTCATTTCATATCATGCTCAAAAAGCATTCTCACCATCGCAATTATAAAAACAAAGTTTTCTGTGCTTATTTTATTTTAAATGTTTAGTTATTTAATCTACCTGGAAATGTTTTGGACATAAGGATTGAGGTAAGGCTCTAATTTAATATTTTCCAAAACCTAAACCATTTATAATATTTTACCCCACCCATGATTTATCATATATCAGAATCCCTTGTGTAGCTCAGTCTATTTATTAAACTTATTCTGTTCAGCTTTTTGGCCTGCTTATTCATATTCCAGAACCAAATTCTCTTGGTTATTGTAGTTGTATAATATATGTAAATATATTGAAATATCTCTCTCATTTTTCAACTCTCTTTTGGTATTTTCTAACTATTCTTTCATGCTTATTTTATCATGAAATCTTTAGAATCAACTTGGGCAGTCACAAAAAAATTAATATCTTGTTGATAGCATGATGAAGATTGTGCTACTTGATCTATTTATAGATCAATTTAGGGAAAATCGAAACTTTTAAAAAAAGAAATCAAGGCTTCTTACCAATCCCCATAAAATAATGTCTTTCTTTTTGTTAAATTATTCATATATGGCCCTCACAATCATTTTTAAGTTTTCTTCACATAGATCTTATACATTTCCCAAGTTTATTCCTATGTACTTTATAGATTTAGTTTATATTGCAAAGGAAGTATCTTCTTCAAGTATATATTCTATGTGATTTTGTATGTAGAAAAGCTATTGATTTTTGTGTGTGATTTCAGATTATCCTTAAGTTTCTTAGGTTTAATATGTTTTCCTTGGATGTTCAAGACTCAGTCTTCTATAAATAAATGATAAATTTGGCTCCTTCTTTCCAATTTCTATACCTCTCATTTCTCTTGTCTGATTTCTCTGACTCCTTTCTCCAGAAAAGAAAATAAGAGTGATGTATTTATGATAGCTTTTGCCACTGAGAAACATTAAGCTTTTATGTAGGAAAAATCTGTCAATTCTTCTGTAGCTTCTGAGTTTCATGTCTTGTTTCAGAAGATCGTTCCCGTCCCCCACAGGCTAAAGACAGACTGCATATTTTCTTCTAATATTTATAGTTTTCATTTTACATTTACATCTTTAATCCATCTGGAATTTATTTCTATATATTGCAGGAGATAAAAATCTAACTTTATTTTTTCCAGATGGATTGCAAAATTTCCCAACATCATTTGTAAAATTGGTCAGCCTTTCCTCACTGGTTTGAAATGCCACCTTAATCATATTCTAAATAGATCAGTTTTATTTTTTAAACCAGAGCTTAAAAACCATAAAGGAAATGAATTGCAGTAGAGAACAAAGACATGAAAAACCAGCAAAAGAATCCACATTAAGATAAAGTTGTGCACACACTATTTAATGCATATAATAAAATACAAAGGCCACTCATAGCAAAATAGTATAAATATGAATACTGCAGAGAAAATATTCTTAAATGGTATTCTAGTAAGAAAGAGTCAGAGGATGAAATAGATACACATAAAATATAAGACTGTAGCAGTTAATTATTCAAACATTGTTTAAAGCTACTCCCTGCATATGGAAACTTATTTGAAGCCTCAAAGCTGTAAACATCCTCCATCTGCCTAGTTTAACCCCAAATCAGATGTTTCTGAGAGCAAATCAGAATTCCAGTAAGTAAAAAGCAAAGTCTGAAATTAGAAAAAAAAATAACAATCCCCTTTTTTTCTTGTAATTCAAGACTGTTTGGTTTTTCATTTGTGTCGCTGTAGTATACGTCACCATCCCTCTTTCTTGGCATTGGAGGAGGGCTACAGTGGACAGATGCTTGGCATTTGCAATTCTTTCTCTCTTTTAACAGAAAAAGTTGGTTAAGAATTATCAAGAATCAAATGCCAAACATTATTACATTCAAATCTGAAAGATGCATAGAAATCTTAAAGCATGTGCACCTACAAATGCATGCCTTTCCAGAGCTTTGAAAATGTTCAATTAAATAATGAGTTAATAATTAGTATTATAAGAGTGAATCCTGATATTCCTTGGCCATATCTATATGGTTCTATGAGGCCTGAAGTGCTATTTGTTAGTGGAACTACAACACAGCCAAGAGAAAATTTGTATCAGACTCTTCACTGGAAGATTATAAAGAATATTATTGGCCAATTCAAAATTTTATTTTATTATGCTATTGAAACAGCTCAAATAAAAATTAAAAGAATAATGAAAGATAAGGAGAGTTTACTACTATTACTACGTCAAGTCATGTCCTCTGAGAGTCATCCAGTAAGGGCAAAGGAAACCCACAAGATGATGATGAGGTGTGTTTCCGCACAGTTATCATTGAAACATGCATACTGTGTTTTCTTTCACAAGTGGAATGATACGATTTTAGGAAGGACATTTGACTGAGCTTTAATCAAACAACTAAATAACAACTATGGCAATAATAATAACAGCACCAACAACCTCAAATAAGCCACTTTCTTCAGGGGTTGGGGACTGACCTGTTGTGTGTCTGGGGGAGGGGTTATGATAGAGAGGATGGCTTGCATCACATTATACAGGTGTTGTGAGTCAGTTATCTTATTACAAATAAAATGTAAACAAGCCCCAGGGTGTCCACACATGGGAGGTAATTGATGTTCTAGCCACTTTATAACAAACACTTCGATGTTTTGAAACATTACAGTATTTAGCAGTCTACATTAAAAATGACAATTAACTGAATAAATTTATAATATTTAATCAGGAATCTTAGGAATGGCTAATATATAACCTAGGTTTAGAGCTTTCTTTCAAATAAACTAAGCAAATGCAGATCTTTTTTTCCTACTATAAAAGCAGCCAGTCTAAGAGAGTGGGAGTACTGGCAGCTAGGTTAACAAATGCTGCCCCAAGCAGATTTTCCTGGAAAACCTTGCAGAACCTGGGTCTATTTTTGCCACTATTATTTGCCAAGATGGTCCTGGGTGCTCTTTGACTTCCTGACCCTCTAAATAAAGCTAGACTTTGGACAGGCTTTTTATTTCTCAAGCCCACGAGGAGTGCTAATTACAAAATACTTTAATTTAAACACTAGAAACTCATTCACGAAGCCAAGCCAAGTCTGAGATTTGAAAGCATTTAAAAATATCCTTGCAACAGCCGTACTACTTTATACTTTATCTATTTTTAGGGCCTCAGTGTTTGTTTTGCTGGAAGAAAAAAATTAAAACATGAAAAGTATGCCATGAGCAAATCTGCAATAATAAGCAGCACATACATGTTGTGGAAGAAAATATTCAACATAAAGCAGTCAACATAAAAACAGATTCTGCTGAGGCATTTTTATAAATAGCAGTTATTATTTTGCTTTCAACTGCTGAGCACTTTAAATAACATGCCCTTAAAAGTTGTCAAGTGCTTTACTTCATATACATATAATTTCTTGATCTTAACTTTCATAAAATTATTATGGAAAATCATAAATGTATTCCATTGGTTCCGTGTGTCATTTTATAGTCATTATATTGTTAAAATTAGAAGCACAAGGAAGAAAGAAATAAAAACATATGACAATGATGCTGAAGAAGCCATTTGCAAGAAAACATGCATGACACTGTATAAAAACAGAATTTGTGCATAAAAGTTTGTAGAAAATGTTGCTAATAGGTATCATCTTACCCAGAGAGTTACAGATAAAATTGTCCCAACTGGTTGTCATACCAAATTAAGGGCATACCCCACCTTAAATGTCTCTCTGAATTCTCGAGTATACTCATCCGGGGGAATTAGGTTTTGAACCTAAAAGAACAGTTTTGGAACTGCTTGCATCATGTAATTACTGCTATACACCCGAGCACATTTTCACACTGTATCTTTAAAAGCAAAAATCACTTTAAAAGGTTCTGAATCACCTCCATCTGGAAAGTATAGAGGTATGTAAAGGAAAAGTATGGCTATTTCAATACTGGGAAAATGAAGTCTTAATACAAGAAAATAAAGCGAATTGCCGGATTCCCACAATGGGGTGGCAGGTTCCGACTCCCGTCACTCCACAAGGGCTGTTGGCCCTGGGTGGGGCTGATGCAAGCCTCCATCACTATGTTCCCTGAGACCAAAGGCCGCCTCCAATAGTGGCGGTTCAGAGAAGCTGCAGCTTTGTTCGCTACTGCTGGCAGACACCAGAAACCATGGTAACACTTACAGGGCCCGAAACACCTTTATTCACCGCTTCAGAGCTTCCCTGCATCAGCCCACGTGATTCAGCTTGGCAATATAGAAAATGGTAAAGTAGGGTTCAGAAAAATACTGACGAACAGTGCAAATCATGTCCAGAGTAGAAATTGTGACTTTGCTAGCATTTCACCAGTATTTCCTGCCTTGCAACCAGTAGATATGTAACCAAAATGACTTGCTGTGAATTTTGTAGCACCCAAGCCAAAAGCAATAAAATCTCTGTAAGAGCATATGCGCCATGACAGAATGCAACATCAGCCCAGAAAAATGATTTTCCTGGAAAGGCCTGTGCAGTGATGAATAAGGCTCTCTATGATACGGAAGCTGGGCAGAGATTTTCGCTGCTTCCAGCCCACAGTGAGGTAATTTTAAAGGCACTTTTCCCTTCATTTGTTCTGCATTCACTGAATGTACATTTTTTGATGTCACAGGGACATTGCAGAAAAGATCAGACGAAATAGTCTGACAATGGAGCCAAAGTTCAAAGCTTCTCTATTTTCAGGTAACAGCCGCGACAGTTCGTCTGCACTAAATCTTTCGAGGGCATGTCACTGTAACCCCTTCCACAGCTTTTCAAACAGTTCAAGACAAACAAATCACTTAGTCGTTGAACAACTATAACATCTGATACCATCACACAGAAGTTGTAGCAATAGTCACTAATCAAAGTTCCTTCTATTCAGTTGAAAAAAAGAAAATTCCTCAGCTTTGGTTTAAGATCACCTTTTTATGCTGTTCTTTTGAAAATTATTATATGCCAAGGCTGGGGGAGAAGAAGGATCCTCCCTATAAGAAGAACCGGGGAGTCAGGTTCTAGCCGCAGACCCCTGTCAATCAATAACTAAGGGGTGGGTTGGGAATCGTCGGTGACTGGGGAGCCCCGCAAAGGAATAGCCAGGCCCTCCTTAGACTCGCTCTGCCAGTCCCGCGGAGAGGACCCACTCTCAGAGGTCTGTCCCCGGCAACCATGTTCTCCTTTCGGGCCTTCTGACTGACTTCTCAATGAAGCACGGACTGCCAATGCCAGCACCACCAAGCGGTAGAGTTGCAACACCACCACGAGGAAGTTCTTCACTGCAAAGAACACCAGCATCTGATTGATCACTTTGAAATAGGTCATCAGTATGAGACGCACCACAAGGAAGGGGCCATCTTGTATGAAGACGCTGATTCCGATGTTCCACAGATCCGCACTGTACTGGCAAAAGAACAGGCTGGGGAATCCCCTCTCTGTCACAGACACGGGGCAAACGACGTTCTGTACTGAAAACACAGGACAGACTAGTTACTCTCTCTCTTGGAAGTGTAGACATATAAGACAATGATATGGGGACAAGTCATTAACAATAGGGACTGTGCTAGTAATAATTTTGTGAATACAGAATGGAAATGAAATGGAATGATCCCGTGATTTAATTCTGAGTGGAACAAGTGAAAACACTTGCATCCAAATAGAAAATGTAAGATCATCTAGTCCTCAACCTGGGCAAAGCACCACATGAAATAGATTCTAGGAGCCAGGCATGGTTACAAGTGCTCAAAGCTCAAGCTCCTTGTGAGGCTGAAGCTGCACCACAGCGGGGGAATAAAAAATAAAGGAAGCTGCCGTTGTGATCCTGGGATCCACAGTGTAAGGAAGACTCACAGTTACATGCTCACAGCCTCAAGTCAGAGAGCATGACTGCCTCATTTTCCAGCAGTGAGTTGCTGGCAGGGTCACTAAGCCTTCCTGGGCCACAGTTTCTTCCTTTGAAAACTGGGATAACAATCATATCAATGAGGAGAGGGGTCCCTATTCATTGGCTCATTTTGTTTCCATTAGAATAACAGCCCTGCCTCCTGTCCACTTTTTCCCTGTCCACGTGATCTTCCCGTTAGGATCACGAATGATTTGCTTGATCGATAAGCTTGAGAAACGGAGCAAAGTGTACATGGCTCTGATCATTCTATATACGCTTTTTAGGATCTACCTGTTTGTTGGTTTACACACTCAAGCATGTGTGCAAACTGTGCTGTGAAAATTCAAGTGCTTATATTCAAATTCAAACTTAATTCATATTAAACATATTTTTCAAATGATGGAGGAAAAAATCCTGAATAAATGCCATTGTTATTTTATTTTGTCCTAATTCCTTGTGCTTTGTTTCACAGTTTACAAGAAAGACTGGATATAATTACTGATTTTCCAGTTAAACAAAAGGAGGTCCAATCAACAGAAGAACCTTTTGTCTTAATTTCTCAAATGTAAATTTAATTCAGGGTCAAGGGCAAAAAATAATCCTTTTATAATAATGAAGCCTTCCATTTGGAGTTTTCAAACAAAGAATGCCATCGTCTACTGGAGCCTGCAAATATTATGAAGCTGCTTTGATATGGATAAACATAATGTACTATTTGTTGGAAAATACAATAATGATTTAGTCAGAAGTAACACTTGGTCTTTGTTTTTGAAACAGCTGCATAACATTATCACCCCTGAAAGTTTACAAAATGTCTTTCTTAAATACAATTTTCTTAGCAAGGCAACAAACCACAAGATATGGGAGGGTGAGGATTGGCAGGGTGAAAGACAAAAGAGAAACTAAGGTTATATCAATGGTAGCCTTTCCTAAGAAATGAGGACCAGGAAATGGCTCCCAAAGGACCTTCTAAAGGTATTAACTCGATATCTAATGTGATGTCACCTAATATTCTATAAGTGGATACCAACTGGACCAATGAGTCCAGAACATACCTTCCAGGGCTCATTATGACAAAAATGTGTGTGTGTGTGTGTGTGTGTGTGTGTTATTAGCATAGATTTGTTTGTAATTATTAATAAGTGATTCCATTTTTGGTATTCCTTAAAAGCTACGGCAAGTTTTCCCATCTATTTCAAATTGTTAATAATTTCAACAAGTGTATGCTATGTTTAAAATGGCCTCAGACCTCTGAGTCTACAAAAGTGAACCAAAAAAGGAGAAAAAAGTTAAATATCCCTGTCCTAAGGATTAATTCTAATCCTGAGGCCAGCAAGTAAGGTGTCATAAATAAACAAGTTGGGCTAAGGAAAATGTAACTATTAATTTCTAGAATTTCTTTGGAGTAAAGTGACATCCTGGAGAATTCTCAAATCAAAATTCTAGGGTTCCAAGAAGTTTTCAGATGACTCCAGATCAACAATGCTCAATTGAACTTTCTGTGATGGTAGAAGTGTTCCATATTACTGCTGTCCAATATGGTAGCCATTTGTGGCAACTGTGCACTTGAAATGTGGCTAGTATGACTGAGGAATTGGACTTTTAATGTTTTACATTTTTAATTAATTTCAGTTTAAAGAGCCATGTGTGGTTGGTGGTCCCCTGTTGGACAATGAAGCCCTAGATTATTGCTAGTATGAAATGCCTGGGAAACGGATTACTTCTTGCAAAATCTTAGGGATTTATGTTTTTATTAAAATAAGACCAATGGGATTCCAAGGACCACCAATGAGGACAATTTTAACTGCTCCTATGCCTTCTGAAGTTTTAATACATGGGTCTGGAAAAAGAATGAAAATTACTTCTTATAAATAATAAGAGATAAAACATTTATGGCAGCAACTTGCTAAGCAAAGTGTATATTACTGAGTCATGACAAGAATCTTCAATCCTAGTGACTATGATTATCATCCCTATTTCATGGATGAAAGAAAGCTGAGACACAGAGGTATCACCTGGTTTGCAGGAGGTCTTATAAATCATAACTGATGGAACTGTTGTTAGAAGTAAATATAATGCTGTGCAATTATCTGCTCTGCTATCTTAAGCTTACCATGTACCACAGTGGATCCACTCTTCTTGGCTTACTAAGTTTCAATCTACTTTCCTTCTAAGCTGAACTAGAACTAACACTGGGATATAGACATGATAATCCTTTCACTTGCCTTCTTAGTTTTAGCATAATTGATAATCAAGAGGTGTAATTTTCTGGTTTTTTGCACAAACATCAGGATACTTACCTGCCAGGTCAAGTGGAAACTGCAGCATGCTCCAAGTCCATATAACAAGGATGGCATAGACTAGTGCAGGGCTATTCCTAGAATACAGACAAAATTTTAAATTTGTAATAAAAAGTATGATCACACGCAGAAGAGAAAAATCTTCTCAGCCCATGTTTTTAGTGTATTCCTAATAAACCTCTTGTGGCCAAAATATCTTGGTGATTTAATATATCAAGGAAAAAAATCCTTACCTGATAATAATGGAATAATGAAGAAGTGAAAAATAAGTAATCTGAGACTTAAAACCCAACATATGCATGAATTATGACAAAGCATTTGGTCCCATATTGCTGTCTTTAGTTTTATAAAATTATGGAAATATTATGGGAGAGAAATGATAGGGAGGAAAATATAGATATTGACATGGATATTCAAATGACTGATTTCAAGGAATGTCAGCAGGGGAATTAATAATTATTCTAAAAAACCAGAGATCTAATTGAAAAGACATTTCAAAAGAGCTAAATGATGGTCAAACACTAAAAGCTCAACATTGAAAGAAAATTGCCATTAGATAAGAAAAAGGTAAGGAGATAAATCCAATAAACAAAGATTTATACCAGATAGTAGGACATAAAGTAAAGAATAAGCCTGTTTCATTCACCACTGTATCCTTAGTGCCTAGAACAGGGCTTGATGGATACAACATATATTTGTGGAAGGAATGGTTAAATGCACTAAAGAAGAGTCTATATTCAGACAAATATAGAAATGTCTTAGACCTAGGAAAATGGTCATGAAGGCTAAAATCAGAAAGAATAGAGGTTACAGAAATGCAAAGGATATTAAAAAGGGTCACATTTATTTTTAGCAAAGATAGAAAGGAAGTCATCAATTTGAGCTTGGTAGCATAATAATAGATTTTGTTTCCATCTTCTGTCAAAAGAGATTTTCAGATTGAAGAGGTCTGAAAGCATCAAAGATGAGTAATTGAAACCAAAAGAAATGAGGTGATTGTAAGGGATATCTTTAAATGCTTCAAGTGTAGAGGCATTAAATGCAAAATTAAATCTCAAAACTCTGAGAGAATTTGTAAATGAGATTTCTAAACCATCATTATCTGTCTTGGCAGTTAATGGTGGAGACAAGGTTGGTGATAGAAAAATAAAGTCTCAACTTTCAAAATGAAACAGAAATATGTCTAAAAGTACAAAAGGCACATTTGCTATTAATCTCTGGTTAGATTATATAAATAATTCTTTGAAAGATTTCTGAGAGCCCTTTTAGAAGAAGACAGTTATTACGAAGCATCAGCACAGGTTCTCTGAGAAAAATTGCACTCAACTAAACTTAGTTCTTCCTTTGAAAAAAATATAGTTAGGATTACCAAGCAGGTAATGTTATGTAAATCGATGACAGACATTCAGATTAAAGCAAGGCTTCTGAAAAAGTCTCCCATAGTGTTCTCATTAACAAAATTAACAAATATTCCAGGTGTGAATACTGTTAGGTAGATTCCTGTGTAAATGGCTCCCCACAGGGGGCTCTCCAATGGGTTGCTGAAGGCTGTGCTTTTGATTCTTTTCTACTTCACATTTTATCATGACTTGGTTGACATTGATGGAAGGCTTCTCATATGCACATATGGCATGGAGCGTGGATAGAAAACCAGTACCCTGGAAGACACAATCAGGATTCCAAAAGAGGTAACTAGATGACCTAGATTAGAATAGAATTGGATAGAAGAGATAGCATTTCACAGCAGCAGCCATAAAACAGGGCTCAAAGATTTTCCCTTACTATTATCTAATTAGGAGTCCACAGTATGACATGATTTATGATTTACCAAAATCAAATAAACTCATAGGTTGCTTCACAAGAAATATAAAGTCTAAAATTTTAAGTGGAAATGCCTTGGGAACGCAGACTATAACTTTTCTCTCTTTACACGGTCAATGTCTATACACAACGGATCTTCAATAAGTGCCTGAATTTTTAAATAATGTTATGGACAGTTTCTGATTTCAGACATCCATGCCAGGCAGTTTTCTAAATGCTTAACTCTATGATCACACTTAATTCTCATACCAGCTCAACAAAGTAGACACAATTGTTATCTTGTTATTTTATCAAGGAGGTAAAAGAGAGTTGAGGAAATGTGTCCAAAATAATGTAGTTATGAATGTTGAGAGCAGAAATCAAAACTAGACAGCTGATTTCAGCATTTACTCCTCTGATCATTACATTATATTATTTCCATGAATGAAATGGAAACTTTTAGCTCTGCTCTACTCTACAATGTTCAGAACATACCTGAAATATTATGTGTGGTGCTTCATGTATTAGAAGAAACATTTATAAAGTTTCTTGTACCAAAGGGGAAGAACCAGAATGGTAAAGAATTCAGAGTCATGATCTGTGTGAGATAGTTCAAGAAACTGAAAACTAGAGATAATTCCTTGGAAGTTTTATTTCCTATGTTTAAGGACTATAATGTGGAAAAGGAATGAAACATTTCTTTTGACTTGAGATGGCCAATTCAGGCTCAAAGGATTTCAGTTGCACCTGTGAGAATTCAAATTTCATCATAATAGAGGAAAGTAGTTTCTAATAATATTACCTCAAAATAGAACAAGTTGCCACTTGGGGTTAGTATTTCTTCTATTAGTGTAATTTTTCAACAGAGCCTGCAGAAAAAGTTGTTGAGGATATTTTGGCGGGGTTTTTTCAACAGATGCAAATGAAATTTTTCACAACATCTTTTGAAGTTTCATCTAATCCCAAACTTCAATAATTCTTCCAAAAACTATGTGCAATTTGCCTGCAAGGCAGTAGAAAGCAGTGGCAAAGCAGGGGGCTTTGGTGCCAAGTGACCAGAGTTCTAACACCAACTCCAACTCTCATTAAAGAAATAGGATGTGAGACTCTAATTCCAGATTGATCAGTTATTAGTTATATGAATATGAGTAACTAGTTTAACATCTGTATGCTTTAGTTTACCCATTTACATTATGAGGAAGACAATAATAATAATTGGATTATATAATAATTTTATTCAGTATATTATTTAAGCATGTTAAACATATAAAGCTCCTAGAACAGCATGTGACACAAGCTATTATGGTAGATCACTACAAATTAGTTATTTTTGGTTTCATGTCATCTTGAGACTTTATTTGCCTCTCCTGACATGTTTTTGCTTATAAAATGGTGATAATAAGAATATTTACATCATAGTGTGAATGTAAATGCAAAATAACTTACTGAATTAAAAGCATTTAAGACTTCTTAGCACACAAGTGATAAATAAACATTACATAATTGTAGCAGTAGTAATTTTACTAGTATGTCAGCATGCTTCTTAAAATTTTTGTATATTATTCATCATCCTACAAAATAGGGATAAATGATATACCCTAGCCCTACATAAATTCAACTTTAACCATGCAATAATGAATGCACATTTTTGCATATGCATATATTATCTACGCACACACAAAATATGGAAGAATGTGGGTGTTGAAAAACATACTAGTAAAATTATCAAACACAATTTTGGAAAAGTAGGTCAGAAAATTTTTAAAGCAGGCAAATATGAATTATTAGATCAGACAGTAAAAATTCTCAGGAAGGTTAAATGTTAGAATGTAAATAAAGCATGGAGATTAATGGCAAACACTCAAGATCTGCAAAGGAATTTTGGGTGGATTTATTCACCACTGTCCCACATCTGCCTTCACAAATGTCAACTGAGAAGCATGTAAGGAGACAATGAACTTGATTCAGAGAGAGACAAAAAAACTTGGGAAGTTTAATTATTAACATTAGTATCACTTTTCTATTTGAAAAACTAGTAAGATAAAAGAGTGGCATTTGGTGTATCAGCACACCCAATCTGGTGGTTAAAAATAAAAATAAAAAGTCATATTTTGCCAATTTGCTTAGCTATTTCTTTTTCTAAAAAAATTTTTATTATACTTTAAGTTCTAGGGTACATGTGCACAATGTGCAGGTTAGTTACATATGCACACATGTGCCACGTTGGTGTGCTGCACCCATTAACTCATCATTTACATTAGGTATATCTCCTAATGCTATCCCTCCTCCCTCCCCCCACCCCATGACAGGCCCCAGTGTATGATGTTCTCCTTCCTGTGTTCAAGTGATCTCATTGTTCAATTCCCACCTATGAGTGAGAACATGTGGTGTTTGGTTTTCTGTTCTTGCAATAGTTTGCTGAGAATGATGGTTTCCGCTGACTGTAAACTAGTTCAACCATTGTGGAAGACAGTGTGGCAATTCCTCAAGGATCTAGAACTAGAAATACCATTTGACCCAGCCATCCCATTAGTGGGCATACCCCCAAAGGATTATAAATCATGCTGCTATAAAGACACATGCACATATATGTTTATTGCAGCACTATTCACAATAGCAAAGACTTGGAACCAGCCCAAATGTCCATCAATGACAGACTGGATGAAGAAAATGTGGCACATATACACCATGGAATACTATGCAGCCATAAAAAAGGATGAGTTCATGTCCTTTGTAGGGGCTCTTTTTGGAAGTGTAAATATTCCTGTAGAAAAGAGACAATCAGCAGATAGAATTCATCTAGTTTTTTTTTTTTTAAAGAAAATGACAAATACCATCAGAAAAGGAAAAAATGATAGAAAGGAAGAAAAAAAATGAAGTATTAACCTACCCTAGAAGAAATATTTCACCATTTCTTCCAGGTGAAAGACAGATTAGCCTCAACTCTGCAAAATAAAAGTAAAACACAATGTAAACATAAGAAGAGTCTCCTTTGTATGGTCAAGTATTCACAGGGAAGTGTTAGTAATGCTGTGAGAATAGAATTCTTTTTAATACATGATTTATTAATGTGTTGGGGGAAAAAAAAAGACTGCACAAAGTGATCTCCAAAGGTGTAAATGGCCAGGGGACTCTCCGTGGCAATGATGTTGAAATTCTGACTTGTGAAAATGTTGGAAGGTGGCTGTAGTGAAATGAAAAGGTCAGCAAATCATTTCCCCAACAAACATGTATAATATTAAAAAACTGTCAAAAAACAACCATCAGGGCTCTGAAA